TTTCCCCACTCCAGATCCACACTGGCAGGCTCGCTTAGACCAGTGCTCCTAAGTGTTCCTGTCTTGACGGATTAGCTTGGCCAGGACAAGTTTACACATCACTGGAGAAGCGTGAAGAGGGAGCGAGGATGGAAAAAATAGAGACACAGGAAGAGGTTTATAATGTTTGAAATTATGCAGCCCAGCCCGGAACTTTCCATAAAAACTTTCTCCTGGCTCCTCCTCTTTCCTCCCTTTTATTGCCAGAGTATCTGACTGGGCAACCCAGCCCTGCTGTCTCCATTACTCAAGCACACACTTGGATTTAAAGGGTGTGAGAACCACCCGACTTACCCACACAGGGCTTTAAAAAAACAAACCAAAACAGAACAGGGTCTCAAGTAGCTCAGGGTGGCCTTCAAGTTCCTTACGTAGCTGAGGGTGATCTTGAACTTCTGATCCTCCTACCTCTACCTTCCAAGTATTGGGATTACAAGCATTCTCCACCACGCCTGGTTTATGAGGTGCTGGGGATTGAACCTGGGGCTCTATGTAAGCCAGTTTCAGTCCTACAACAGGCTTCTCTTGGTTCGTACCTGGTCCAGTCCTTTGAAGACTTTGCAATGGCTTTATGTCTCTCTCTCTCTCTCTCTCTCTCTCTCTTTCTCTCTCTCTCCCTCTCTCTCTCTCTCTCTCTCGTTGCTCCTTTCCTGGGTGCTGGGAAATTTGAGACTCTAGGATCTTCCAAATACTTGTTCCACTACACTTTCTGCTTCTTTTCTAAGGGGAGGGAGAGCTTCCTAAAGTTCTTTGGCCTCTCTTCCCATTTCTGTTTGTGGACTCCTTGCCTTTGTTAATGGTGACTTCATCATTCCTTTTGATGCCCAGAACCAGCTTTCTGGCCAAGGCCACTCAGTAGGGTTCCACTTTTACGTGTCTCAGTGACCGCTGTTTGTTTCTTTGGTGTGTCCTAGAAGCCCTTCAAAATTATTCTTAAGGTTGATTTCATAGTTTCCACCCACAAACTTCCTCTTTCTTGTAATCCGCCCCCCCCATGTGAATATCACGATACATTCCTGCACTCATTTTGCCCCCCATATCAGGTACTTTTCCTTTAATATCTGTTTCTTCGTTCCCATAGACTTTGCATTCAAATGTCTCTTTCTAAAAAACAAAACAAAACCTTAAAAAAGGGATATAGGAAAAAAAAGTGTATTTCAGTAGTGAGAGACATGGGTCAAATCTAGGTTCTGTCGAGGCCCATCAGACACTACACACAACCCTCACATATCCTGAATGTGGTTTTTCTCAGCCGTAAAATGGGTGCAACACTTGCTAACTCACCAGTTTTTGATGGGATTAAATGATTTACAAATATACACACTACATATTGGAGATAGTGTCTTCTATATAGTACAGGCTAGCCTCAAGTTCACAGTAATCATTATTTTTTTTTTCCTCAGTCTCCTGAGAGCTGGGATTTCAGGCATGGTCTACCATGCCCAGCTCATGAATGAAAATGTTGTTTCAGAATGTAATCTCCTTAAGAGCAAGACTCAATTCTAGTTAACCAATATAGCCCAAGTACCACTGACTAGTGATCAAATGAATGAATGAATACAGCATAATTTTCCTAATTTCATATCCAATGCCATCATTGTGTCTACTAAGGGAAAGGTTAAGCCCAGCCAGTCTTGTCCTATTTAATGCCTCCTGATAACAAGTGGCCGCTAATTCGATGCTCTTGTTTTATTTTTACCTGGTTGAATGGCTTGACTTCATAGCCAATGGCTGCTAAGAAGGGAGAAATAATCATGGGTTTCTAAACCCACTCAGTCTTAGCTTGCTGTTGCTTTCCCACAAGCTGGGCCGTCTGGTTAACTGTCTGGCGGTTTAATGGCCAGTTAGTTGTCCTGGGTCACCAGCTCCCATCACCTCCTTTTATTTTTGCTTAATCGATCTAGGCCACTGCTTCAACTCTTCACTCCTCCCGATCTCTACTGAACAGTCTCTTGGGTTCCAGGCAGCCATCTGGTCTACCCCTACTGTCACTTTTGTTTAGACCTACTTCCTCCTCTTTGGTCTTACAGGTAGGGAATGCCAGCTATTGTTGTCCGCAAAAACTAGCCCTCAGCTGGAAAGCAGCCCTCTTCCCAGCATGCATCAGGCCCAATGTGCCTGTGTGCTCTTGGGGACACACCAAGCCCTTGCCTCCCTCGTGGCCCATTGGACACAGCTAAAGACATTCAGCTGGTTCTCTGGCAATTGGGTAATTCATTTCTTCTCTCAGCTGAGTGTAGACCACCTGGCCATACCTTGGCCCACCCACTTCCTCTTTCTCTTGTCAGATGGTGTCTGGCATCTACGGTGTGTTTCCTCTTTCCCTCCTTTTCCACGATCCTCCTTTAGGAAAGTCCTTTCAGGGAAGAATAAACGAGGAGAGGAACGAGTACACGAGGTGGCATCCCATAGAAGAGCTGAGAAGATCACAGAATAATGTTTTGGGGGGGTATATAGAGACATGCCGTCTCTCTGAGTCCATTTTCTGATTCATTTAAGACTTTGAAACATCTTCTACCTTTTTGTCCTTAAAACGATAGACTAAAAACAAAGGGTTCTCTCTGAATGACCACCCACGTCACCTAGGCTAACGATCACTACAAAGACAGTCTCTCCACTCTTCATTCACACCCTCTTAAAGATGGTGCCCCATGCTGCCAAGGCAATAGGAAAGTAAAGAATGATGTGGTCATGGTGGTGTAGTTCACTATTGCATCCAAGTCTAGGGCATTCTGTCATTCTTTCTTTTAGTATCATCGGCAATAATCATGATATAATTAATTCAAGATGAAACAGCAAAACTGTCCCTAGGTATAGGAAAAATAAGAACCCAAGACCCTTAACAGTAACTTGGGTATGTAAAAGGGTCTAATGGATGCATGTAGTGCTAATAATGTCGAGTGAGTTCTACTGTAGTAAAAATAAGTAACAAAATCTTTTTTGTTGTTTGTTTTTTTTTTTTTGTTTTTGTTTTTCGAGACAGAGTTTCTCTGTGGCTTTGGAGCCTGTCCTGGAACTCGCTCTGTAGACCAGGCTGGCCTCGAACTCACAGAGATCCGCCTGCCTCTGCCTCCCGAGTGTTGGGATTAAAGGCGTGCTCTTTTTTTCCATCTTTGGAAAAATTTGAAGGAAGAACAGAAGTTAAGTAATATCAGTCCTTAAAAATAGAACTATTTATCTGGGTGTGCTAGGGCACGCCTTTAATCCTGGCACGTGGAAGGCAGAGGCAGGAGGATCTCTATGAGTTAGAGACCAGCCTGGTCTATAGAGCGAGTTCCAGGACACCCAGGACTGTTCCACAGAGAAACCCTGTTTCAAAAAAGCCTCCCACCCCACCCCCAAAAATAACACTGTTTGAGAATAAATCACAAGGCAGGACTGGGCAGACAGCTCAACTGTGGAGTACTTGTGCAAGCACAAGGAGCTAAGTTCAAGCCCAGAACCCTCGTATAAAAGAGTGGAAACCTAGAGATCACTGAAATCAGTGGCCATTCTAGCTTATAGGTAGAACAGTGAGAGACCCTGCCTCAAAACAGTATGGAGGTGGAACCTGAGGAATGACACCCAAGGATGTCTTCTGGCGTCTCCATGCACATACATACATACATGCATACATAAATACATACAAAATCACAAATTGGATTAGAGAAGATAAGACTGGGACTGGGATCTGGAGAGTCTTCCTAAGGTCAATTTTCTCCTGCTTTTAGGGAAAGCCTCTACACAATCTCTCAAAGCCAAGGCATGACGTCCACTGTCATTGTACCACAGCCCCAGACTTACTCAAAGTTTCTTAAAACTTCCCATGAACCAGAATCATGCTTTCTTTTTTAGGTATGATTTTGAGCTGGGTGTGGCAACAATCGCAGCCCTTCAGTGGGTCAAGAGTTCAAGGTCACCCCAGCTACTTAGAGAGTTTGAAGCCAGTGAAACCCTGTCTCAAAAAAAAGTGACTTTTGAGTGAAACAGGTCCTAGATTATTCTTTTCCTGAGAGTTTCTTTCTGTGCTATGTCTAGACTAGTCACGACCTTTGCCTTTTGCCTCTCTTGAATGACACATTCCACTAAACTGAAGCGCGGCTAATCTGTAGGGGCCAGAGAATGGTCTACAATAGCTATGCTTCCAGATTTGAGCCAGTGAGCTTATTACGTCTATGGAAAAACAAAGAAAAAGAATAAATAGCTACCAGTAGTTTTTATTTTTTCATTGTTATTGTTTTGCTTTGTGTTTTTTTTGGGGGGGGCGGGTCTTTGTTTTGTTTTGAGACAGACTTCTCTATTCTGTAGCACTGGCTGATCTGGAACTTGACGTGTAGACCAGGCTGGCCTTGAACTCACTCACAGAGATCCTCTTGCCTCCACCTCCCAAGTGCTGCTGTGTCCTCAATAGTTAAAGAGACAAATAGACAGGAAAACATCATCTGATTTAAGGCTCAAAATATCCAGCAGAAACCAACTAGGGAAGCTGAGGATCCCTGGATACACTTCCTCTTCACGGGTGAGTGTCCAACTTCTCCTTCCCACTGTGGGCGTCTTTATCGTGTGGGATAAACACTAGTTCCCTCTCCTGGAAATAGCTTCCTTCTGGCTGTCCTCAAGGATGCGGTGTTTTTACTTTGGGGGCTGTTTTCTTGATCTCACAGAGTTAGGGGACCAGTTCTACCCAAACATGGGCCTCAGAGGACACTTTGAGACAAAGACTCTTGGGTCTGAAATGGGGAGGTGTCTACCCTGCTTCCAGAGCCAGCTCCTCAGTGAGCAGAAATAGCATGTCAGAGTTTACCAGTCTGAGACACAATACAGTTACATAGAATGACTTTCAGTGAATACGGTACTTCATAATTTTATAATAAAAAAAGAGGTATATCTCATTTTATTTTCCTGGCATTAAGAATCTTAAAATCTTACACTCAAACTGGCCTATTATAAAAAAAGATTTTTTTTTGAAACAGGTCTGCCCTGAATTCTTACTGGCAAACCTCCTGCCACCGTCTCTTGGAGTATTGGATGACAGGTATGAGAGCAATCATATCTTCATAACAATTTTCGATATTTTGTTCCCGGTAGCCAAGAGAAGCCAAGAGATTTTGTTTTTTTTGAAACCTGTGTTGTGATAATTGCATTTTAAAATTTTTACTAGTAAGAAAAAAAGAGTCAAATCCGTTTATAACTAGCAATATACACCGATTTCTTTCCATTTTGTTTTTTGGCTACTGTTTTGAGACAGGATGACAGTATGTAGCCCTGGCTAGCCTCCAACTTGTGCTCCTCTTGCCCCGCTTCTCCAGTACTAGGATTACAGGCCTGCCTGCTCTACCGAGCCTCATTCCTTCTGTGAAGTCCTAGAAATGTAGGCTCTAGCGGAAGCAGCCTGGAGAGAAGTTTGCAGAAGCCCCTCCCCTCCATGCACAGCTGGGCACTTGTATTTCACCGTCCACGCTGTTATTCCTCGGTCTCCAGCTAGCATGCAGGCTATGCACTGTAGAGTGAAGATCAAAATACTGAAGCCAGCCTCGGGCCACTGTGGGTGACAGCGTGACTCACAAGGATGCCTGCGTGTTCCTCACACTCTGGAAACCTCTCATACGGTCCTGCTATCAAGGGGGAGACTTTAAAATCATCATTTGGTTTCATGAGTTAAAAATAGAAGTGGCTTTGACGTAATGTTAGCTTTGAGAGACCTGGGGATGATCACTGGTTAAGGGTGATGGGTCCGGCTCGGTGAGTAGGAGCCCAGGTTTCAGAGGCCAGCTCCTGCTCTCTAGGTGTGTGGAAGTTGCTGGACTCATTCATCCTTCCTCTTTGGGATGCCCTGTGGATGCCATGTACACAGGATCTTCTGTTTTCTATCATCCAAAGCAGAGTTTAGTCGCCAAGACTGTAACTCAACTAACATGAGTTCCATTTAGCTCAGGGTTAATGTTAGTAAACACAAGCTTCTCTGAGAGGCGAAGGTTCTGTGTGTGCACACACACATGGACGAACACATATGTGTAGCTGCACACGTGGAACATGAAGGCCAGAGGTCAGTATCAGGGCCCTCCTCAATCATTCTTCATTTTTAATTGTGTTTTATTTATTTTTCATGTATGTATGTGGAGCAGGGGAGACATGTATGCAGATCAGGGGACAGTCTGTAGGAGTTAGTTCTATCCTTTTACTATATGAGTACCAAGGAACAGACTCAGGTCATCCACGCTTGGAGGCCAGCACCCTACCCGATGAACCATCTGGCCGGTTCCATCTTACTTTTTGAGACAGGGTCTTTCCCCGGAGCTGACTTACTCGGCAAGGTCAGCTGGCCATGAAGGTTATGTGGGGGCTGGACTTCCTCATGCTGGTCTCTCTCCACCCACAAGGCTAAAGTTCTAATTCTTTCACCACCACCACCCCTCCCCCCCCCCCCCCCCCCCAGGCTGGAAGATGACTTTCGTGCCTGCCTTCACTTTCTGGAAGTTGGAGTCTCCAGATGACTCATAGTGTTCTGGGTTCAAATGCTCCAGATTGCAGGATGAGAGACAGAGCAGGGAGGAGGCACATGGGAGCCTCTAACACAGGTCTTTTTCCCCTAAGAGCTCCCTGAACGGGCCAGCACAGCTCCATGGCCTCCCCGGGGCTCGCCTGTGTCTCTGGAGACACATCCTCAGCTCTGTTCCTTTGGGAACACGACATTTGCATCCATGAGGGGTTAGGTGACAGTGGTGACGCAGGCTGACGTCCTCCCCTGTATGAAGCTGTATGCAGAAGCACAGAAAGATTCAGGCTCCTGTTGTAGCAATCACAGCCACCTCTCTTGTCTCTTCTCTTTCGCTGCACACCTTCTCTTTGATGGATGGGAACCATCGCTTAGCAACTTTAGAAAGGGGGAGCTGCTCTGCGGAGGCCTCCAGTCTCTGCAGGAAGGTTCCTCCTCACTTGTCTTGGGTGGAAACATTCCAGCTGAGTGACTGAGGAAGGGGCTGTCCCCCCTCTCTCTTTCATTTTTTCTTTCTTTTTTTTTTAATATTTGTGGGCATGGTACATGTGGGTGGGCTGCCAAGGTCTTCTTGTGTAGGTCATAGGACACCCTTGGGTGTCAGTGTTTAAAGCAGGGTCCCTTTGGCGCTGCATATCCTAAGCTAACTGACTTGCAAGTGTTTAGGGCTCTCCTGTTTCTCCCTCCTGTCTGTCTACCCACGATGACGTGAAAGCCACCTCAAAGGTGTGTAGGCTGCTGTCACCCTGGCTTTGCTGTCACAAACACAGGAGCAGAGGACCATGGAGGAGGAAGTCCTGCCCGGAGGAGAGCAATGGCTAGAGGAACAGGGTGGACTGGGGCAGTCATGCTTTGAGATCACATCTCAAGCCCTGGGACCTGGTATGAGTCGGACACTTCCTTCCTCCCAGCGGGGGCTGGAATAGCTCTGAGTCAGCATCCTGACTCCAGGCTCTTCTTACATGAATGCGTATGTGGAGGACCCAGATAGGCACAGCCGGCAGACTTGCTTTGGAGTTACTGTACTCACGACGGCGGGGCTGGGCTAGAGAGTCATGCTTTGTGAGAACATGTGCCGTCAGACAGCTGGCAAGGCACTGGGGGAGGAACCAAAGGGCTCTGGGAACCCCCAAGCCAGCACCTGAGAATGTAGTGTATTGAAGATAGAACCTTACCAGTCTCCCAGACTTTCAATTTCCCCCGTCCCTGCTCAAGCGGGCAGACAGTCTCAGCCCAATTGTAATGAAGTCCTGCAAACCTGAAAGTGGGGGGAAAAAAAGACATTATTTCCCAAAGTTTGGAAGCTGGATGTCTAAGAACCAGTGTGCCAGCATAGATCAGCTCTGTGCGGGCATCTTCGACATGCTAGCCCCCAGCTGTGGCCCCACATGGTGGGAACAGAGTGGGGTCCCTCTCTCTAGCTCCTCTCACAGAACACTCAATCTCGCTCATTAGGGCCTCACCCCCATAACCTAACCATGCCCAAAGGCCTCCTCCTCCTCCCCTCACCTTGAGGGTTTGGGTCTCAATACGGGAATTTGGAAGACGCTCTTACATTTCATCCCCAGCGGAACGGACACCGATGCCCACATCTGCGAGGCACATCTCTGCCACGTCACTTGTTCCGCAGAAGCTGGCCACCGAGGCAGCACCCCTCTTCCCCTTTCATTAATGAAGAAAGTGGCTCAGAGAGGTAAAGGGATGCACAGAGAAGCAGCTGGCTTGCGCAGAGTCAGGTGACAGCCTAGAGGACAAATGCCAGGCCCATGGTCTCCCAGAGAGCTGGTGTAGGAAACGATGCTGTCACTTAAATCATGGGGGCGGGATGCATACAGGTCGGCACTCCCCGTGTTGGAGGTCACATTCATCCCTAGCATCACAAATGTGCGTGTCTACTGGGGCACTAATCGGAGAGGCGGTGCTTTGAAGGAAGAGAAACGTGTTCTGAGTTAGCATATGAGCAAGCGGGGAGGCCTTGGTAATGGGTACTGCCACATCTTCGCGCCTGAAGATGTCATCACAGAACGATGGGCTGACGGGATGCGGAGCAGAGGGGGGAGGACAGTCCTGCTGGTGAGTCTGGAAGGCTGACAGCAGGAACTGACCTGGGCTTGACTGAGAGGAGGTGCTGCCTGGGCAGAGGAGAGGGACAAGCAAGGGGAGCACAGCTGGCATGAAGGTGGGAGGGGCACATGGTCACAGGGGTGGGGGCAGTCTACGGGCATCCAGACTTCCTGCTGGAGTGCAACAGGAAGGAAGGTTAGGAGGGGGTTGGGTAGGTGAGAGTCCTGGAAGGCCTGGCAGGGGGTGGTCCAGAGGGGGTGATGGGCTCCCTAAGGTGGGATCTGCCTTCCAGAAGGAAGAGGGGACAGTGAGGCTCAGGAGGACAGGGACAGATGCCAGAACAGAGCCTGGCATGCAGTTGGCCCTGGGCATGGGAAAGAAGACGTTTTCTCTTTGTTTATTACAATGTTTATTTATTTTGTTTGTATGAGTGTTTGGCCTACATGTGTGTCTGTACACCATATGCATGCAATGTCTGTGAAGGCCAGAAGAGGGCATCAGATTCCCTGGAACTGGAGTTACAGATGGCTGTGAGCCACGAGGTGGGTGCTGGAAACTGAACCTGGGTCCTCTGCAAGGGCAGCCAGTGCTCTTAACCACTGAGCCATCTCTCCAGCCTCCTAGTTATTCTAAATTTTCTTACAGGTATGTGTGATATGTTGGGTCTATTCTGCCCCGCCCTGACCCCTCATTCTCCCTTCACTATCTCCTTACAATTTCATATCTGCTTTCATTTAACACATACACACATGGCTAGATGCGGTCATATAGGATGGAGAGGTCACATACGAGAGAAAAACATAGCTTCTGTGTTTCTGAGACTGACTTATCCTATTGTCTCCAGGGTCTTCTCTTTTCCCATGAATGATAGGGCTTTGCTCTTCTTCATGGATAAAAAAGCTCTCTTGTGTATATATGACATTTTTCCTTTTTCCTTTTTGAATTCCCAGGTGTTTATTGTTGATTCAAGGTCAGACTTGAAACAACTTTAGTAGACACAACCCGCTGCGGTAATGAACTTTTTGCACGTACGCCCTGTCACTCAAGGGTCAACTGCCTGCCTGTTTATGGTTTAAGTACTGAATTTTAATGTACGGCATTTTTATTATTCAGTTCTCCGTTGTTGGCTAAGTTAGCTGCTGTGAAGCCGTACCACAGCAAACATGGATGTGCAGGTGTCTCTGTGATGTGTTAACTTAGAACACATTCTGGGTGACTCCTCCCGAGTGATGTAGCTGGTCACATGGTAGTCCTGTTTTTTGGTTTTCGAGAACCCTCCATACCTACTTCCATAGTGGCTGGAGCATTCCACATCCCCACCAGCGAGGCTTGTGGGAGGAGACCTTCTGAAGGTGAATAAATGGGCCCTGAGACATCTCAGGGACATCGAGGCCTTGAGTCAGATGAAAGCTGATCAGATAGCAGCAGACCCAGGAGGCCGGGGGGGGGGGGGGGACACCTTGTTGAGCTGCGTG